TTGGGTGGAGTGTTCTAGAAACGTCAGTTTGGTTGATAGTCTTCTATAAATCATTTGTTTTATATTTTTATTGATTTTTTTTGTCTGTTTACCCCATCAGTGATAGAGAATTGTTGAAGTCTCTAGTTGTAATTGTGGATTTGTCCATTTCTCTTTGTAGTTCAATAGTTTGCCTCATTTATTTGAACATTCTTTTAGGTGCATAAAATTTAGGATTATTGTGTGTTTTTGGAAGATTGATTCCTTTATATCATGTTAATTATTCTTTTTTTTAGCTGGCAGATTTTTTTTTTTGCTTAGAAATCCATTTTGATAATAATGTAGCCACGCCAACTTTCTTTTGATTAGTGTTTGTATATTTTTTCCTTGTCCTTCTACTTTTAACTATATATTTATGTTTAAAGTGGATTTCTTATATCTTGTATCTCTCACTCCATGTTTTTCTGATTTCTCACATTTCCACTTGACTTTTCATAAACATAACATTAAATCTTTATTAAGATTGAAGTCACATACTGCATAGTTCATCCATTAGAGTATACTTCTTGGTGATGTAGTATATCAGAGTTGTGCAACCGTCACAGCAATCAATTGTGAACATTTTTGTTTTCTCAGAACCCTATGCTCATTAGCAGTCAGTCTCTATTTCTTCCAGTCCCCACTACCCTTTGCTTTCTGTCTCTAGATTTGCTGATTTTGGACACTTCACATAAACAGAATCATACAGTGTATAGTCTTTATGACTATTAATTTAATTAACATAAATTTTTCAGATATGTTCTAACATTTATTAGTACTTAATTCTATTTGTATTACTAAATATTATTGCATTGTCTAACTATATATTTTATATTTTCACTCATTAGTTGATGGACTTTGGGATTGTTTCCACTTTTTTTGGCTATTACAAATAATGCTGCTATGAACATTTCATGTTTATATATGTGTTTACATATGTTTTCAGCTCTCTTGGGTATATATCTAAAACTGGAGTTCTTGGGTTATTTGTTAACTATATTTAACTGAGGAGCTGCCAAATTGTTTTCAAAAGTGACCATTTCTTTTTACTTCCCACTAGCAATATAATGGTTCAGATTTCTCGACATCCTTACCAACACTTGTTATTGCCCTTCTTTTTGATAATTAGCATCCCAGTGGGTGTGAGGTGGTATCTCATTGTGATTTTGATTCACATGTCCCTGGTACCTAGCGATGTTGAGCATCTTCTTATATGCTTCTTGGACATGTATATATCTTCCTCGTGAAAATGTCTATTCAGATATTTTACTTATTTTTAATTGAGTTATTTATGTTTTTCTTACTAAGTTACGAGTTCTTTATATAGTCTAAAAACACATTTCTTACAAGATTTGACTTGAAAATGTTTACTCTCATTCAGTAGGGGTTTCATTTTACTTTCTTGATAGTGTCCTTTGATGCACAAAAGTTTTTAATTTTTTTTAATTGAGGTATAATTGACATGTAACACTATATTAGTTTTAGATATATAATATAATGATATGATATTTGTATACATTGTGAAATGATCACCAAGATTAAGTCCAGTTAATATCCATCACCATACATAGTTACAAAAATTTTTTTTCTTGTGATGAGAACTTTTAAGATTTATAGTCTTAGCAACTTTCAAATCTGCAGTACAGTATTAACTGGTCACCATGTTGTACATTGTATCCTCATGACTTATTTATTTTATAACTGAAGTTTATACCTATTGACCCCCTTCATCCATTTTACCTACATTCCACCCCTGCCTCTGACAACCAATCTGCTGTCTGTATCCATGCACTAGGTTTTTTTTGTTTTGTTTTTGCTTTAGTTTTGGATTCTACATATAAATGAGATCATATGATATTTGTCTTTCTCCATCTGACTTATTTCACTTAGCATAGTACCCTCAAGGTCCATACATGTAGTTGTAAATAGCAAGATTTTCTTTATTTTTATGGCTGAATAATATTCAGTTATATATATATACAACATTTTCTTTATCCATTTATCCATTCATGGACACTTAGGTTGTTTCAATTTCTTGGCTTTTATAAATAATACTGTAATGAACATGGGAGTTAGTGTCTTCTTTATACATATAAAGAAATGGAATTATATATACCCTGAAGTGGAATTGCTGGATCTTATGATTGTTCTATTTTTAATTTTTTAAGGGACCTCCATATTGTTTACGTAGAGGCTGCACCAATTTACATTTTCACCAACCGTGCACAAGAACTCTCTTTATATTCTCACCAACACTTGTTATTTCTAGTCTTTTTGATAATAGCTTCTTGAAGGGATATCTCATTGTGGTTTTAAATATCATTTCCCTAAGAATTAATGATGTTTAGCATCTTTTCATATGCTTTTTGGTCATCTGTATGTCTTTTTTGAAAAAATGTCTATTCAGATCCTCTGCCCATTTTTAAATCAGATTGTTTTTGCTATTGAGTCGTATGAGTCCTTTGTACCTTTGGATATTAACCCTTGACAGATATATGACTTGCAAATATTTTCTCCCATTAAACAGATTGCCTTTTTATTTTGCTGATGATTTCCTTTGCTGTATAGAAGCGTTTTAGTTTCATGTAGTCTCACCTGTTTAATTTTTATTTTGTTGCCTTTACTTTTGGCGTCAAATCCAAAACTCGTTGCTAAGACTGATGTTAATGAGCTTACAGCCTATGTTTTCTTTTAGTTTTATGGTTTCAGGTCTTACAGTCAAGTCTTTAATTCATTTTGAGTTAATTTTTTTGTGCGGTCTACAGTTGTGGTCCAGTTTCATTCCTTTGCATGTGGCTGTCCAGCTTTTCCAACATCATTTATTAAAGAGACTGTCTTTACCCCATTGTATATTCTTGACTCCTCTGTTATAAATTAATTGACCATGTATGCATTTCTGGGTTCTGGGGTCTCTATTCCATTGATGTATGTGTCTCTTTTTATGCTAATATCATACTGTTTTGATTACTATAGCTTTGTAATATAGTTTGAAATCAGGGAGCACGATGCCTTCAACTCTGTTCTCCTTTCTCAAGATTGCTTTGGCTATTAAAGGTCTTTTATGGTTCTATACAAATTTTAGAATTGTTTGTCCTATTTCTGTGAAAAATGCCATTAAGATTGTGATAGGGATTGCATTGACTCTGTATATTGCATTGGGTAGCATGGACATTTTAACAATATATAGATATATACGTAACATTCTATCCTAAAGCAACAGAATACAAATTCTTCTCAAGTGTGTGAAAAATTCTTCAGGATAGGTCATATGTTAGGTCACAAAATAAGTATTAAAAATTTAAGAAGATTAAAATCAAGCATCTTTTCCAACCACAGTGGTATTTTAGTGAAATACCACTTCTAGGTATTTTAGTGAAATTCCACTTCTAGGTATTTTAGTGAAAATGGTGAATTCACTAATTTGTGGAGAATAAACAACATGCTACTGAACAACCAATGGGTCAAAGAAGAAATAAAGAGAGAAATAAAAAAAATACCCTGAGACAAAAAAAAAATGAAATACAATATACCAAAACTTGTAGGATGTAACAAAAGCCATTCTAAGAGTTCACAGCAATAAATGTTTACATCAAGAAACCAGAAAAATCTTAAACTTGACTCTACTTCAAGGAACTAGAAAAGAGGAACAAACAAAACACAAAGTTAGTGGAAGGAAGGAATTAACTAACATAGCTCAACAGAAATAAATGAAATAGAAACTAAAAAGACAATAGAGATCAAGAATACCTCGTTATTTAAAAACATAAACAACAACAACAAAGTAAACAAATAGACAAACCTTTAGCTAGACTCACCAAGAGAGAGGACTGAAAATCAGAAATAAAAGAGGAGATGTTACAACTGATATCACAGAAATTCAGAGAATCATAAGAGATGACTGAACAATTATACACCAACAAATTTGACAATCTAGAAGAAATGGATAAATTCTTAGAAACCTACAACCTACCAAGACTGAATCATTAAGAAAAAAGCTGAACAGACTGATTGCTAGAAAGAAGATTGAATCAGCAATAAAAAATCTCCCAAAAAACAAGTGCAGGATTAGACAGCTTCACTGGTGAATTCTACCAAACATTTAAAGAAGAATGAATACCAACCCTTCTCTCAACTCTTTGAAAAAATAGGTGGGAATGCTTCTAAACTCTTTTTATGAGGTCGGCATTACCGATACCAAAACCAGACAAGGATGCCACAAGAAAATAAAATTACAACCCAATAGCTTGATTAATATACATGCAGAAATCCTCAACACAATATAAGCAAACTGAATTCAACAATACATTCAAAGGATCATATAGTGTGATCAAGTGGGATTTATTCCAAAGACGCAAGGATAGTTCATAATCTGCAAATCAATGCTAAATATTATGTTAACAGAATGAAAGATAAAAATAATATAATTATATTAATAGATGCAGGAAAAGCATTGGATAGAATTCAACATCCATTTATGATAAAAACTCTCAACAAAATGGGTGTAGAGGGAAAGTACTTTACCATAATAAATGCTATGTACAACAAGCCGACAACTAACATTATATTCAACAGTGAAAAGCTGAAAGCTTTCAGGAACAAGATCAGGACAAGACAAGGATGCCCACTCTCACCACTTTTATCAATATAATATTGGAAGTCCTGGCCAGAACAGTTATGCAAGAAAAAGAAATAAAAGGCATCCAAATTGGGTAGGAAGAAGTAAAGTGTCACTATTTGCTGATGACATTTTTTTTAAGTTTTAAGAAGGTAGATAAATCTCAAGTACTATTACTTTGCATCTGTAAACTGCTTTTAGAAATGCTTAATAATTAATCTAAAGTGACATAAATATCTGAGGTTCAAATCTAAGTGTTTTGATATTTAGGCTTTTACCTATACATTTAGTCACACCCCCTCATTTCATCAAATAAATCTTAGGTAATTAGTGAAGAATAATATTTGATTTCGTTTTTCACTTTTAGTGTGAAATGTTTACAAAAGACAGTAAAGGATTCTTATCATATAATGTGTAGACCATGTGCCTGTGAACTTGAAGTCTGCGCAAAATGTGGAAAGAAAGAAGACATTGTTACTCCGTGAGTATTTCTTTTTATGTTTGGGTTTTACTCTTTTAGTAATTGATATGTGAATTTTTTCAAAGGAAACATTCAATAGCTGTAAGAATTTTAATTTACAATATATCACACTAATGTAGACTTTTTCTACTTCACAGGAAAAAGTCAATTGTTTGTTAAATTTTTCTATCATTACAATAAAAGTGAAACTACATTTTTAGAAAATTAAAATATTTATCCATGAGGTTTATATTCATTATTCATTACAAAAGACTTCTTATTATATAACTACTTTCTTTAATGGCCATCATGTATTAATTTATTTGAGCTTACTTTATTGATAACAGTATTATAATTATTTGGATCAAGTTAGTCTTTAAGTATCTTTTTCTCTATATGTATTTCATTAGGCTTCTGTTAATCAAGAAATGTAGTGTAAAGTTCTTTTTGATCTACACAGTTAAATAATGAAAATCTGAGAGAGTTTTTCCTTTCATCTTTAGGTTTAATGAAGAAACAAAACAGACAGAAAACACTGAAAATAACCTACGTTCCAACTGCAGAAGAAGCTGTAGAAATAAAGAAAAAAGTGATGAAGATTTAGAATTTGATATTGATTTAGATGACTCAGAAGATGACAATCATATAGATTAACTTAATTATATGAAAAGTCAGTTTGAAAACATGAAATTCTGAACAACTTTTGACTTTTACAAAGTCGTACCTTCCCTCAAAAATACTATGAAATCCTAATGAGGAAATTGAAAAAACTTATAGAAAATGACAACACTTATACATGGACAATATAAATTGTGTATGATTTTTGAATAATGATAAAACTTTCAGAGTTTTCTTATAATAAATATTTAAGTACCATATGCTGGAATATCTGCCAAAATGAGTACTGAGCTTTATCGCAGTTCATGGGAATTATTTAGAAGAATATACTATCTAATATCAAAGTTGACAAGATCTAGAATTGATGGTTCTGTAAGAACTATCTCCATGGAAAAATCAGATGACATTATTATATTACTAGCTTCAAAAATTGATTCTCAGTATATACCTTTTGATAAATTGATCTCAAGTAAATGGCCCACATAACAAAAGCCCCTTTATGTTTGATTATTATAAAGCACAAAGTTTATTTTTTAAATGATTTTTCTTTGAAAGTATTTTTATGTACCTCATCACATTTCCTTTACCTGTTTTCTTTTGTAAAATATACATAGGAAAAAAATGTGTAAAATACATATGTATAGTTTAACAAATAATTATAAAGAAAAATCATACATCTATCACCCAGATGAAGAAACTGCTCCTAAACAGTATAAATTGGCTCTGTCTGATTTTTTTTAATTCTCTGTTTTTATTTTGAAAAATCTCAAGTCTACAGAAAAACAACAAAATAGTACGATAAACTTTTGTATACTCACATAGATGGGGAGGCCTGCTTGCATAAAAAAGAAAATGCTGGTTCTGTGGAATTCCAGGAAGAAGAAGATTAAGTATAGCCTAAGGGAGTGTCAAAGGGAGTGTCAAAGGAAGTGTCAATTGTACCTGGATCTTCAGGATGTTACTTTTATTATGTTATTTGGGGATACACAAAGGAACAGATTGTGTTTAAAAGAAGGATAAGAAATAAACTCGGAGAGACAGTTGTGAGATCTCTTCTCCCTCCTGCACCCTGTCTGTCTTCTCTTTTTTCTCAGTCCCCGCTCCCCCATTCAGGTACCCGGTTTGACTTGGTCGGCTGGCTTCCGACACTGCTGTGAGCAGTATTATATGCGTTTTTTGGTACACATATCTTGTTTCTTGGTACACATTTTTGTGTATATGTATGTAGTCGTGGTAGACGGCATCAAATGTGTGTCTTCAGTAATACTAAATGCTGCCAAGCTGTCTTTCCAGAAGGACTGTTATTTCCTTTCCCCATGGCAATGTATTAGAGTTCCAGTGCTCTGCATCCTTTCCAATACTTGGTATCAGACATTTAAATTTCTGCCAATTAGATATGTGTGCAACGTATGTCTTTGCTTTGTTAATTTGTATTTCCCTGATTACTAATAAGCTTGAGCTCTTTTTAATGTTTATTGACCATTTGGTTTTTGGATAATAGATGATAGTAAGGAACTGTTTTGGTGAAGTGTAGTGATATTTAAGAAATGTATACTGAACTACGGCCATGCCACCCTGAACACGCCCGATCTTGTCTGATCTTAGAAGCTAAGCAGAGTTGGGCCTGGTTAGTACTTGGATGGGAGACCACCTAGGAAGACCAGGTGCTGTAGGCTTAAAAAAAGAAAATGTATACTGAAATATTTAAGTGTGTAATGTCAGTTTACTTTAAAATATTTCAACATAAGAAAATAAAAATGTAGATAACATTACAATGGAATAAATATGTTACTTAGGAATAAATTTTTAAAATGAAGAACCCTGTTGACAAAAATATAAAATCTTATAAAGACATTAAAGATAATGGAGACATAAATGGAGAAAGATAAAAGTAAGTGGAGATACCGTGTTCATTATGTGGACGTCTCAAGAGTCTAAATTTATAGTCTTAGAGAAAGTTTCTTTTCCAATTTATGTGGCTTGCCTTTGAATATAAATTTATTTCCTGGACTACAACATAACTTTTGTGGTTAAAGAGACAACTAAATTATCATTAGACCTAGCATAAGTTCTTTCCATCTGAATGAATTATAATTTCTCAGATTACTTTACCAGGAGAGAAATGTAACAAAGAGCATCACCTAGTGACATGTATTAAAATCTGCATTTCATTGTTTAGTACTAAGAAAGGTGGTTTTGTTTTCTTTTAAATAGACTTAAATATAGTTGTTATATTTTCTTTTATTTAGGAATTATCCTTTTTAATCTAAATTTTTTTTTTTATTGGAACTCAGCATGGTTCTGAATTCTGGTTCAGTTAGTGATTAGCTGTATGACTTAGTACAAATTAGTTCATTTTTCTGTACCTTGGTTTCCATGTTGTTGATAGAATTAAATATATTAATATGTAAAATTAATGATTTAATGCTTAGAACCTATAAAAGCACTATATAATTGATATTATTATTGCTACTATGTGATTTTGTACATGTATATAAATTCATTAGTAATGAAGACATTAATTTGGTTGTTTGCCTAGATTCTGTAAAAGAAATATATCTATATTTCCCCCCATGTATATGGAACGCAGAATATGTATATATGGAATCCTGTTACTTGCAGATCCATGCTATCTGGTTCCAGAGGGGTGATAGTGGTGGTGGTGGTGTTTTAACTATTGCCCTATAGTACCAATGTAATACATGTCAAAAGCATTTTTAAAAATAAATAGAGAAAACTATTTTATGGAACACATGAAATGAACAGGTTATTTGGCGACTAAAAAGACTTGGAATGGTAATGGAAATAATATAAGTAACATTCATTTCTTCAATAAATCATGAAGCACCTATGTGTGCAAAGCACTGTTCAAGATACTTGGGGTATAACAATCAGTAAAACAAAGATACCTATCCTTTCTGAGATAAACTTTCAGTGGATGGAGACAGACAATAAGCAATAAACATAAGTAAATTAGAAGGCAAAAAGTGCTATGGGAAAAAAAATAAGGCAGGACGATTGGAGGTCTAAAGGCATGGATGGGGTGAGAAATGGGCTATAATTTTTAAATAAGATGTCTAGGGAGACATGAGGAAGAATGTTTCAGGCAGAAGAAACAGCCAATAAAGCAAGTTGTGCCAGCTGTGTTCAAGGAACAGCAAGGAAGGGAGTGATTAAGTTACAGAGTCCTAAGAAATAAAGATCAGGGAAGGTAATGGAAGGCAAGATCACGTTAAACCTGTGTTTAAGATGTTTTTTATCTTTGGTATTCATGTATGTAACTACGATTTCAAAGGTTTGAATTTCTTATTTATGCTATTTAGGGTTTTCTGAGTTCCTCCAATCTTGGTCAATGTCCTTAAACAGACTTGGAAAATTGTGGGCCATTATTTTTTCTAATATTGCTTTTGCTTATTCTCGCCTCTCCTCGGAGCACACTCCAATTACATTTACTGTTAAAACTTTTTGACTGTGTCCCATGTCTTTCTCATGCTCTGCTTTCTTTTTTTCATTCTTTTTTCCATTCTGCGCTTCAGTTTGTATGTTTTCTATTGAACTATCTTTGCATTTATTAATTCTATCTTCTAGATAAATAGGATTAGTGTGTTCAGTCTGCTTTTAAACCCATCTAATAAATTTTTAACTTCAGATACTGAATTTAACAGTATCAATGTTGATCAAATGTCAAGTTGATTCTTTTTTATAGATTTTAATTTTATTAAAATACTGCAAATTGTATATCTTGTGCATCTTTGTTTTTAAATATTAATCAGGTATTTTGAAGTCCTTTTCACTTTTGTTTGCTTTTATTATTTTATCTTGATTATTAGTCCCTTTCCCCTGCTTTGCATGTCTAATAATTTTTATTATATGCTAGAAATTGTGAATGATAGATTACAGAGGCTTCCTGTAAAAATAAATTACTGTGGATCGCCTTGATCCTGTCAAAACTTGGATTTAAGCTTTGTTAGGGGTCAACTATTTTTTTCACACTTATTTCTAAATTTCCTTATTCCCATCTCTTACTCCTCGATTACTTTCTTTATTCCTAGGCATGTCTTTTTTGGGGTCTTAATTCCAAGGCTGTTCACCTTGGTATCTCCACTCTGTGTAAGCCCAAACTCCAGCACTGTGTGACCTCTGAAGTCTCTGCCTAGCTCACAGCCTCTTGGCAGCTGTTTTCTTCTGGGACTCTTCTGAGTTGTGCCTTGTGTGTATTCAGCTTAAGAGACTGAAGAGTGACTAGAGAAGTAGAAGGAGAATCAAGAAAGGGTGTCCTGGAAGGCAAGGTTTACATGTATTGAGTGCTTACGGTATCCTGGCACTGTGCTAAACTAACCCCTTTACGTGATAAGCTCATTGAATGTTCATGTAGTGATGACTATCATTTTCCACATTTATAGATGAGAAATTGGGTTAAATAATTTGGCATACAGTCAAAAAGTGTTGGGCTTATAGGTTTTGAATTTAGATATCGATCCCAGAACCTATTTTGCATATTAGGGTTAGTATGCATAAGAATAATATGTGAGTTGCTGACCGGATAACTCAAGTATTTTCTATACCACTATTCCAGGACTCTGATGACAGTCCCACTGTCATGCTTTCATTTCCATTATTTTAGACAATTTAGAGCTTTTTTTCTTTTTTTTTTCTTTCTGAAGAGCCATTGGGTTCTGGACATCATTAGAGACTGCTTAGGTCTTTAGCTACTGCTGATACAACTGAATTCGCATCACTTTGTTTATTCCCCCCATGACTGCTGATTTTCACATATGAATTATAACACCTGTAATTTTTTTTTTTAATTAGGTGATATCACTTTATTGTGAGACCTACTTGTCATAAGATAATAAATAATAAACCTAAGATTCAAACCAAGTCTGTACGGCCCCAAAGCCTATTATTTCAACCAGATTTATGCAAAATTACAAGCGTTTCACATTCCTAGATGTTTTGTAAGTGAAATTTGTAACATTCTTAACACCCTTATCCGTTTCGTATGTCCTCTTTTCTAGGTCTTTTCCTTCCCTTGTAACATCATCCTGTATTGAATGATTGCGCTGTTCAAAAGCTACATTTTTAAAAAATAAAAAGTTCATAGATATCCTCCATATAACTTGCGGCATAGAATTTTTGTCACTCATTCAGATTTGTTAATAATATTGAAGGTTGTAAGACCCATTTTCCACGTTGTTTCCCTAGCAATCCTTATAGAGTCGGGAGTATGTTGGGATTATTTACTCAGCTCTATACTAATGGGTCCCACAATTTTGTCAA